CTGCCAACTGCACCCTCTCTAATCTGGGACCCCTGCCAGTCTGGTCACCCCACGCAGTCTGCTGTTTGGTCGTTTGGTCACCCCTCACTAACCCTGAAAATGAGGATAGACTAGAGGACCATTAAGGACCTACAAGCTCTGACATTCAATATCCAAGACATTCTTGGCATTTTACAAGTCTAGATGACTTATAAACCGCCTTCTTCTTAGATCTTTTCCTATCTTTTCTCATAACAGAAGAAAAAGTTTAAGCACAATTAAACAAAAATAGACTTTAAAATAGAGCTTTAAAGTAGTTTCAGTATACATTTAAACAGATTCACAAAAATAAAATAGGTGTTTAAGAAATATTTATTCTTTCTCACGTGAAAATGAAATTGCAATTGTAAACATAAACTAAGAAACATTTGTTTTACAAGATAATTTGCTACATTACCATGACCTTGAAATTTAGACAAGAAAATTATTAAAGGCTCTACAAGTTCTGAATTTTGTAATTCTGATACACTCTTGGCATTTTACATGTCTAGATGACTACCTTCATTTTTTGGATTTTTCCTTTGCATTTTACAGTCTGTTCTCATTACAGAAGAAAACAGCATATTATTACAGAGAGAAGTTTAAATAGAGATCTGAAGTAACTTCAAGATACACATTTACACTGAAATATTCAAAAGAACACTTGCTGAGTCAGGGACACATGTACAGTCTCTATTTCACTAATTATGGAAAAATATGAATCAAGTGATATTTGTCTTAGAAAGTAACTGATTTATTCTAATTTTGTAACTGGAGACATGTAAACATACAGCATTTACACAATATGGTTTTGACTTCTAAGAATACAAGCTCTCAGTGACAAGCTTTAGATATGCAACTTAACCCAGTGGGTATCAAGTTTGTCACAAGAAGCAACTATACACAAACAGCTCCACACCCCGCTGCATCAGAAAGAGAAATTAGATACTTAAGGCAGAAAAACAATATTCCTACAAAGCATAAATGATTAAGGCATAAGACCATATTTACAACAAATGGATATAAGATCTCAATTATTCAACTGAGCAAGTGAGTTAATTCACACATTAACTCCTTTTCTTACTACTTCCTTATTTCTGATTCAGGGAATATTTATGCTGCACCTACTGGGCAAGACACTGGGAACACAAAGAAGGGTCAGGCATGGTCCCAATGATGTACTGTGTTTAACAACCAGCTCTTGAGAGGAGGAAAAGCACGTAATTAGAGCATTTGACAATTTCTATGGGGTAAACATTCCCACTACAGACAAATTTCAAGTTACCAACAATTTGATAATTGGCTCACAAAATTCCTGAAACTTTAACAATCATCTCTCACAAGCCATTATAAGACAGTTCCAACACACCACTGTATGGTCCACAAGTAGCTCATAACTTCTTCATGGGTACATATGTTAGAGAATAAAAAAGAATAGGGAAGATAGAGATAAAATTTAAATAGTTATATTTTTGTAAGCAGTTTCAAAAATTAAAAGAAATGCTAAAATCTGTGCAAATTTCCTACTTCTTTTAATATTCCAGTTTTTCTCTTGCTTAAATTTATTTCAGGAAATTAAAATGAAGTATAATGAGGGAAAGTAAAGTATGAGTGGAATAAGGGAAGAAAAATGACAAGAAAAGACATCCTGAGATATATGCTAAGTAACCATGTTTATGTAGAAGAAAATACCTACTAAGATAAGATCAAATGTAATGGATGTAACCTTTAAAATTCCATCGTCTTTAAGCCCTTTCATTCAGTTCACAGTCCTGAAGATTTGTCCTGTCCTCTTTGGCTGCAGCTTTCATCAGGTTAGCTTCTTTTGTACAAAACTGAGGAGTGTACTGCTTCACACTGTAAGCTCATAACAAAAGGCAAAACTAAACTGTGGAGTCTAAAAACTCCCTTTGCATAGTCCCTTGTATCAGATCTTAGACAAGTGCCGGCTGGAGTGACCAGGAAAGTCTTCTCGTAGCAAAACATGGAGCCTGCAGGTTGGGCATGTCCCCTGCTGCATTAACCAAGGTCTAATGCACTACGGAGCAAAAAGATTCATGTCAGTCTCTCAGATTTAGCCTAGCAGAGGCAGCTATCCTATATAATAAAAGCCCAGCAACCCAAATGGCAGAATGACCAGAGACCAGAACAACTGCGGTCCCTTGCCCAGGCTGGCCCCACCCCCCAGCAGGGACCCCCTATCCTGATCGGGGGCATGGCTGGCCTGCAAACCACCTGTGCTCCTTTGCCCTGGCTGGCCCCGCCTCCCAGTGGGGACCCCCACCCCGATTGGAGGGCGTGACCAGCACGCAAACCACCTGCGGCCCTTTGCCCTAGTCAGCCCTGCCCCCCAGCGGGGACCCCCACCCGGATCAGGGCCCTCATCAGGGCAGGCCAGCTGGTCCCCACCTGAGCACTGGGCCTCTATCCTATATAATAAAGAGCTAATATGCAAATGGTCATCAAGCCCTCATGCCAGGGCCAGGGGACCTGAGGCCACGCCCCCCGCCTGGTGGGGCTTGACGGGGGTGGAGCCGGCTGTGTCTGGGTCTCGGGTGATTTCAAGGTGCACATGGGTGGGCAGAGACTTGACTCTGGGTCCCGCGGTGCGCCCCAGACTCTGACAGGAGGGAGATTTTCATATACATTTTACTAATTTTCTTTCATCTCTGACACTTCTATTATAAAGAAAGGGAAAATAGCAATATTAAAATATTTCTTCTAAATAATTCCTTTTTAATGTGCATGAATTTCGTGCTCCGGGCCACTAGTAGAAATATAAAACCCTACCCCCGTCACCACTCCAACCCAACCTACCAAAGGCTCCTGAAACCACAAAATTAGATCACTGATTCAGGCTAGCAATTCAAACTGTAAAGCCTCATTCACACATGAGGAATTCGCACCTTTCTCCTTCCCCTTGGACTCCGAGTCTCAGAGGAGGCATGCACGGTATGGAGCTCAAATGAAAGCTCATAAAAGTCACCCTTTTGGGGTCCTGTGGCGCATCCAGGCAGACAAACTGATCACCAAAAGCCAAGCACCAGACTCTGTCCCTTCCTCATCCTGTGGCCTCAGCTCCAGACAGGCACTCCCCGTGGCAGGATACAAGGAGAGCCCCTTCTCAAATCTTCACAAAGACAGGAATGCTCAGGAGGCCAAGATAATAGAAACCTAAGGACCCAAATGTTGGGGCCCGAGCCGCCAGGGCCCACTTAGCACAAGGCCAATGGGAGCTCAGACCAAGTTCTGGTCCAATTCCTAACCTGGTCGAGACCCGCCATCCTGGGGGATGCTGGGGTGTGTAATCACGGGGGGCACTCTGGAGGCAGAGGGCCCACCCCAACCCCTGGGCCCAAGGGGCTCTCTGCCTATGCTCCCTTCCTCCAGGCACTCAGCACAGCTGTGCCAGCAAAGCCCCAGGGGGCAGGTCGGGGGAGGGGTGGCCGGCCCTTGGCCTCCACTGCAGCTATTTGCACACATGTAATTAGCTCTAATTATTCCAGGCTTTCAGTTCGCCAACTCCGGGCCTGGGAGCTGTGTCTGGAGTGAACTTGCCCAGGGAGCCGCTGCTCCACTGAATGAGCCCTCTCATCAGGCTGGGAAGCTCTATTCCAGCCCATAGCACCCTGTGTCGTGTGTCCGTCTCTCCCAGTGCATCACTCTCCCTGTTCCTTGCTCTCTGATCCTGTTTACTCATTCCCCATGTCTGCCTGGGTCCATGTCTGCCTGGGTCTTTTGTCTCTGTCTCTCATCGGATCTCTGCCCATGGAGAACACTCCTGCCACCCCTGCAAAGGAACACACACCAGCAGCATATCTGCCTTTTCAATAAAAAACAACAAGTGGGGAACAGAGTGAATTGAAAAGCATTAACTTAAAAACAATCCATGTGTCTGCAAATGCGTTCCAAATGGCAGCACTTTGGCAGGGGTGCCAGGGGCGGGGCGGATTTGCCACATGTTCTGGAGTCTCAGACACCTTGCTATGGACCCCTCCCACTAGCCACCTGGGATGGCAGGGTCTGGGAAAGTGACTTAGTCTATACTCACCCTCTCGGACCCCCACCTGACTCCCTAGATCCTTTCCCCTGTTCTGGCATCTGCTGGTCCCTCTTACTCCCCCAGTACCTCCAAACCTTTCTATGCTGACCCCAATTCTCCTTCTGTACCAGCCCTCCCCCCGCCACACAGATTTCACCCTCTCCCTCCTTCACCCCCAAGTCTGCTACCCCATACTTCTTCCTGCCCTGCCCTCCCCTGCCCCACCTGTTCCAGACCACCCAGCAGCCCTGGCTCTAAGAGAAATGGTTAGAACAAAGCTTTCCTTGGCCAGAAGAGACTCTCCAGGGAGCTGCATGAAGAAAGGTGTTCCCAGTCCTGTACCTGCAACTACTCTTTCCTGCCAGATGCCAATCAGAAATTGTGTCTCTGGAGACAGAGGGTAGCAGAAGTCCTTTGAAGCCCCTCATCAGGAGGAAACTCTCCCCCCCACCCCCAAAAGATCACCCTGCTGCCTCCCTTATCACTTTCAGCAACTCTCCTTTGCCCATTTCCTTGGAAGTGGAAGGATTGAAGCACATCTCTATATATAAGAGTAATATACAAATCGACTGAACAGTGGAACAACCAGAACGACTGCTCGACCAGTCGCTATGAGGTGCACTGACCACCTCCTGATCCCTTCCCCAGGCTGGCAGACTCCAATTCCCCAATGGTGAATGGGGAACTGGGGAAGGGTGGAGGCAGGGGGCAGGGCCGGCTGCCAGCAGCTGGGTATGATGGCCCTGATCACAGGCCAAGCCTAGGGACCGTACCCACGCACAAATTTCATGTGCCAAGCCTATAGTCTATAATAATATAAGGGTAATATGCTAATTAGACCAGATGCCATTCCGGATGTCCTTTTGGACTAAGCTGGGGCTGGAGTGAAGCCCGGGTCCTGGGTGCCTGCCGGCGGCCGGAGGGGAAAAACGCCTACTCTTGCATGAATTTCATGCATCGGGCCTCTAGTTAATCTATATATAAGGATTGTCAACCAACATGTTTGTCAGTAGGTCTTAAAGCCTTATCTGGTAGATTGCCAAGTCAACTGCTGAAATGATGGCATCTTCTCTATGGTTTGCTGAATAATATAGCTGGTAACAGAACACCTTTCAGACAATTTATTCTACTAGGATCCTTCCCCTAACCTCAAATATTCAGGACTAGAGGCCCAGTGCACAAATTTGTGCATGGGTGGGGTCCAGCCCACCCCAATTGGCGTGTGGGGGGCAGATTGGGGGCAGAGCCCACTGGGGAGTGCAGGGGCCCTGGGCGGTTGGTGGGCTGGCTCTGCCCCTGGTCAAACTCTGGTGGAACTCCGGGTTAAGGGGGAAATTTGCATATTACCCTTTTATTATATAGGATGATTAGCAGTTCTTCCTAACAAAAAGGTTGAGGAATGTAGAGGGCCCCTGGGAAGGCACATGGGCATTTCTTTAATAAATTGTCAGCTGATACCACGGTGGTAGGCAGAGCCACGTCCTGGATATGCATTTTGCTAAAAAGGCAGAAGTGTTCTCAGCTTGACCTTCATTTCTGCCCAGGTGCCTGGGAGTGGGTTTTATTATGTAAATCCAGCCAAGCACCAGGAATGAATAGGACTCAGGCCCACCCAGAACTGACATTACAAGAATGCAAATAATCTCCTTTGTCTTGACCTTTGGTGAAACTTCCTGGTACTGGGGGTATAAAATAAACACGTCTCTGTCTCTCCATCAGAAGAGGACAGCGGTCCCACCTGATCCCAGCTCTTTTCTTCCATCTTTGTGTCTGTCTCTTTCTTTCATTTTCTCAATCCCCAGCCGCCCCTACTCAAAGAACTGGACTACTCTCTAGCCGCGCTGGACACGGAAAAGAGAGACCCCTCCATAGAGGAAAGCTTCTATAGTTTTTTCCCTAATTTATTATAGATTGTCCTCATTTATAACCCGGAAAAACATCATAACTAAACATACAAAAGTCACCAACACCTTGTGTCAAGTGCTTACGGTGTTTTGAAGTTAAAATTCCTAGATGATGGAATACTTTTCAGATTGCCTTTTCTTTGGTGACAATGGTAGTACATTTGGCTATGAACTATCTGTTAAATCATTTGCTTGAAAATTAATTCTGCAAACATTTTTTTTACCTGTATGAATGATGGAGAGCCAGGTCAAATGACAGCAGATTAAGAATAGATACTATATATGAAGCCCATTAAATCTAAGCCTAAAAAGTAATCTGGATGAATTACCTATTTTCTATTCAATGGGTTATGGCAAAGAATAAAATAAGTTTTATGAAACATTTAATTTCTAAATGAATCTGACTTTTAAAACTTTAGATAGGAAAGTCAGGTGGCTAAGTATCTGTCCTTGAGATCATTTAGGGTTAGCCATTCTGTGTATATCTCTTCATATCAGAGCAGATGCAAAATATAATTCTATAGCATGTATCACATATCTTTGAAATGATGCTTTACAGATATGGCTTGAATGAGCTGGCTATTGTTCACTTCCCTGAAAAGTCTTTTTAATACAAGATTAACTTTTCCAGTGTCAAATTACATCTCTGCAACAGAAGACTTGGGTTATAAATTGTCTATCAATAGCATTTGCACAGCAGTAACACCAGAAGTTATCTATATGAATGCCAAGAATCAACAAAAGTTATGCTTGCCTCACATTTTTCTAACATCAAAACTCAAGCCTAAGCATCATCAAAAACAAATACCGGAACCTGATCACACTACTAAGGTAAGTCTTATGCATTCTAACAGTAGAGGCCATCATTAGTGTGGACAAAGGACACTATGTTATTTATAGCACATCAAGGTGAAGTGGCATGCTGCTAAATTGTCACGGAATTGCCATGTCAATCAACATTCTTTCCAGTTCTATTCAAGTGACTGCCTACTCTCTTCCATTTAAGTACCATCATGTCACCTTCTCCTGTAAAGTATATGGAGATCTGAGAAAGCACAATGCAATCTGTAGCTGAGGAAACAGGTGTAAGTATTTCTGTGTGGTACCCAAAAGCCCAGCGCACTATATCCACTCAAGAAATAACAGTGGATGCATATGATTTCAAATAAGGCAGTATAAATCTCCCTTAGTTGATTAATGGTAAACATTAAAAGGATTAGTTTACCTGAGAGTGAAATTTGTGAGCACAAGGCAAAACTGAGAGGTTTTCTGGAGAGAGATTCTCATGACAGATCACACAAGGCTCTTCTTCCTCTCCCTCATCATCCTAGGGGAAATACACATAAGATGTATTCAGCTCATTTCTTTCTCCAAAATTAAATTTATAATCAGCAGTCTCAATCTCACCAAATTATTGGCTCCTTCCCACGTGACAGGACCCTGTGAACTGAGAGGCCTCCAGGCTGGTTTTGGGGGCTGGGCAGCATTGGACTGTGGTGGAGGATGGCTGTGTGAAACACAACTACCACTTGGCACTGATTTTCCTTGACTCTGAAAAGAAAAATATTACACTGATGTTTTTTAGACTTGTTCTAAAACAGGAAGATGAACAGAATAGCACAGAATGTGATATAGTGAGAATTAGCAAAAGGATAAAGGTCAATCAGATTCATGATAAATCTTGAAACAAAATGTTGGCAATATTACTTATATACTGAGAATTAGGTAAAACAAAAATAACTATATGTATTCTTTTAGTTTAAATAAATGTTTGCAGAAAATTTGGGGGAAAATGCCTCCATTAGAATCATTCAAATTGACCTAGAGTAAATTTCAAAAAGGTCAGTTTATTCTAGAATGATCTGAAAGTATTTCAAAAAGACTTCCCATGCCATTTGTCCGGCTGAAATTAAATTTTTTATTAAGAGAAGATTTAATACAATTACAGATTATTGATTTTTCCAAATATGTTATGGTTTTAATTAAGACAGCTAACTACTGGAGATGAGGGCCTGAGGGGGCTTAAGATGGAAACTGGATGAGCACAACAAGACACAGTACTGAGAAAAATAGGAGAGATATGGTCCCATTAAGGGGATTGCAGTGTTCTGTGGTCAGGAGGGATCTTAACGGGAGAGAACTTTTCTTGGAGGAGTGAGAAATTGAAGTTCCACTTCAGGAACCCCAACCCTTAGTACATGAACAGGATAGATGAGCCCTCAAAACAAGCTTTGAAAACCAATAGGGAATATATCTAGGACAACTATAGAATTGCGTAGAAAAGAAATTCTGCTCTTAAAGGCTCATGCACAGACTCACTCAATCTGGAATCCAGGGAAAAACACCAGATGAAAAGGACATTGACCAGTGATTTTCAACCTTTTTCATATCATGGCACACATAAACTAATAGCTGCGGTACATCTACACAATGGAATACTATGCCGCTATAAAAAAGAAGGAACTTTTACCATTTGCAACAGCATGGATGGAACTGGAGAGCATTATGCTAAGCGAAATAAGCCAGTCGGAGAAAGATAAATATCACATGATCTCACTCATATGCGGGATATAATGATCAACATAATTTAATGAACAAGAATAGATCCAGAGACAAATGGTGGGGGAGAGGAGTTAGAGAGCCACCATATTAGCATAACCAATGGACACAGACACTGGCTCAGTGGGGACTTGCGAGACATATGTAAAACTTTAGACAATAAAAAAAAAATTTGAAGCATACCAAAAATATATTTTTCTTAAAAAATCTGAGAGCCCTAACTTTTAAAAAAAAATCTGAGATAAAAATAGGTATACTTTTGATTCATTCATACCCAATGGCTATTGTTTCCTGATATTTTTTATTTGACAGTCTAAGGGAAAAGAGGTCAGTGCCCCTGACTAAATAGGAATGGCAAGTGTTAAAAATTCTTGTGGCACACCAGTTGAAAATTGCTGACATAGACCATAGTTGAAAGGGACGCATTTACTATTATTGAAATGCCTGCCAAAGAGGCAGGAGGCAGCAGGGACTCTCTGAAACGCTGGCGGCAGCCATTTCTGCCATCTAATTCTGCTGTGCTGATGCCAGTACTAATAGACACCATTTAAAAATTCTCCCTCTAGCCACCTAACACCAGTGGAACACTCTGATGAAAGCCCACACACCCCTACAGCTCAGTCTTGCTACCTAGCCTGTCCCACCTATACATGCCAGTAGCGATGGTGGCCCATCACAAGAGAAGGGTGCACACAGCCCAATAGGGGACACCCATAGAGTACCTGGCTCTGGTGGCCAGAGGAAATTACTCTTCTGGGCCCCACAGGACATCACCAACATAAGGGCACTTCATCAATACTGGGAGATATAGGTGATCTACCTAATACATAAAAACAAACACAGAGAATTAGGTAAAATGAGAAGACAGAGGAATATGTTCCAAACTAGAGAACAAGATAAAACCTAGTAAAAGAACTAAATGAAATGAAGATAAGCAAAGGTCATAAAGATGCTCACAAAACTTGAGAGAAAAATGAATGAATACAATGAGAACTTCAATAAAGAAATAGAAAATTTAAGAAGTGCCAATCAGAGCTAAAGAATACAATAAACTGCAATGAAAAATACACAGGGGAATCAACAGAGTAGATGACATAAAAGAACAGATCAGCAATCTGGAAAATAAAGTAGTGGAAGTTACCCAAGTTTATAAAGAACAAAAATAAGAAAAAAATTTGTTTTAAATGAGAATAATGTATGGGACCTCAGGGACAACATCAAGCACACTAACATTTGTATTATAGGGGTCCAAGATGGAGATAAGAGAAAGGGGAAGAAAACTTCTTTGAAGAAATAACAGCTAAAACTTTCCAAACCCGAGGAAGGAAACAGACATCTAGGTCAAGAAAGCACAAAGTCCCAAACTAGATGAACCCAAAGAGGTCCACACCAAGACATTATAATCACAATGTCAATAATTAAAGATAAAGAGAGAATCTGAAAAGCAAGTAGCATTAAATAAGGAAATTCCTGTAAGACTATCAGCTAATTTTTAAGCAGAAACTTTGCAAGCCAGAAGGAAAAGACACAATACACTCAAAGTGATAAACGCAAAAAAACCTACATCCAAGAATACTCTACCTGGCAAGGATAACACTCAAAATTAAAGGAGAGATAAAGGGTTTCCCAAACAAGCAAAAGCTAATATAGTTCATCACCACTAAATCAGCCAAACAAGAAATGTTGAAGAGAGACTTCCTTAACTAGAAAATGAAAAAGCAATAACTAGACATAAAAAAATATATGAATGAGAAAGATCCAAGATGGCAGCTAATTAGGGGAAGTTACAATCAGCCTCGACCAGGATCAAACTGGAATTATAATTAAATTATCCTATATAATAAAGAGGTAATATGCACATTGACCGTCACACCCTCACACAAGATGGCCACACCCATGTGGGCACAAGATGGCCAGCAGGGGAGGGCAGTTGGGGGTGACCAGGCTGGCAGGGGAGGGAAGTTGGGGGCGATTGGGCCTGCAGGGGAGTGGTTAGGGGCAATCAGGCAGGTGAGCAGTTGGGAGCCAAAGGGTCTCAGATTGGAGAGGTTACAGGCTGGGCGGGTTTAAGCCAGGCTGAAGGGACCCCCCCCCCCCCCCAGTGCATGAATTTCATGCACCGGGCCTCTAGTAGAACAATAAATTTGAATAATCAACTGAAGACTAGTTGAACAAAAGTCTTATAACTAAGAACATACAGAAGAAGAGTGGAGATGTGAAAAAAAATGTACCTAGTGGTTGAGAATCCAAAAAAGTATCTCAGCTGCAAAGGTTCACCTTGAAGAGCAAAGGGTATCAACTCCATGACAGGCTCCCAGGCTGGAGAACCAGAACAGGAAAAAGGAGCCCATATCACATCTGGCTGTGAAAATCAGTGGGGATTCCAACTGCCAGGGACAGACAGGAGTCTGCTAGAAACCCAGGTGCCCTCTTAAAGGGCCAGCACACAAAATCACATTTATGGGTACTCACCCTAGATCTAGCAGAGAAATGGCAGCTCTGAGAGAATTTGAGTCATATAAGGAGAGACTGGGTTATGTGACTTCAGGGAGAAGGCTAAAGTTGCAGCTACCATTGTCCCTGTGCTGAAACCCTCTCCCACATTGTCCACAGACACCATTTTCATGGCTAGAGCACTCCCCTCCATATGGCATTGATTGGCCTGGGGAGACCCAGTAGCCCCACCCTCCCAATTCCCTGTGGACTCACCCTGCCAAACTGACATACTGTTGAGCAATCAGCCAGCTGCAGGCAGTCTGGGCCTGCTACAGTTTTTCTTGAAAGGCTCTGAAGGAGGTCCAGGAAGTTTCAGGGCATGTCAGAGATGCATGGGAGAGATGAAGTTATATGACTCTGGGGCAAAGTCATTGCCACCCACCTCCTCCTCCACACACCCTGACTAGCAACAGTGATCCTGTGAAAAGCCTCCTGCCCCAAAGCCAAATCCTGTTATTATAGCCTGATGAAATCTGTTGGCCTCACCCTGATGACTCCCTGAGATCATACTACCCCACAACAAAAATATGCAGGTCCCAGATGGGTGGCAACTGACCTGAACTTGGCGTACATTGAAAATTTTAGAGTGGCCTAAGACAGCACTGACATGAAGACTGAATCTGTACCAACCTGGTGAACACCACTTACCCCTACCTAGTGATTCAGACCCTGCCTCATGCAACTCATGTACCTCCAGAGGTTCTTTCAATGGCTGAGCCAAACTGGCCGTGGAAGACGGGGCCAGATCTCAGGGTGTGTTGGGCCTTCTGTTAACCTGCCTGAGATTCAGTTCTGGTGGAAGCTGGCCTTGGCACACAAGTTGGCCCCACAATGTACATCCAGGACCAGCAGAGGCAGTTACCAGCTGTGGTTCACCTTACAGCTCCTAACAGGTAGCCCATAACATCAGTGACTTTTACAAAACATTCAAAGAACTAACACCTGTCCTCTCAAACTATTCCAAAAAATTCAGGAGGAGGGAAGACTCCCCAGCTCATTTTATGAGGCCAGCATTATCCTAATTCCAAAAGCAGATAAAGACACTATGAAGGAATAAAACTATTAGGCTGATATCCCTGATGAACATCAATGCAAAAATCCTCAAAATATTAGCAAACTGAATTCTGCAATATGTTAAAAAAATCATACACCATAATCAAGTGGGATTTATTCCTGGGATGCAAGGTCAGTACAATATGTGCAAATGAATTGAGAAACCAAGATGGCAGCATAGATAAACACCTGAAATTGCTGCCTCGCACAACCACTTCAAAAATACAACTAAAAGACAAAAAGAACATCATCCAGAACCACAGGAAGGCTGGCTTAGTGGAAATTCTACAACTAGAAGGAAAGAGAAAAGCACACTGAGACTCAGAGGAGGTGCGGATGTAAAGTGCAGAGGTACAGAGGCACATGTGGAAAGGGCAAGCAACTGAGGACGTGGCTGTCTTTTTCAATTGGGAGGGAGTCTCAAGCTTCCGACTGCTCCGAACTCCAGTTCCTGGCGAATCTCTGAGGACCCAGACTCATACAGGGAAAAACTGAACAGTCTGGCATCGGGCGGAACTCGAGGGCGGCTTTCTCTCAGAGGTGCTTGCAAAGATTACCTCAGGACACTGAGACCCGGGGCTGCATTGCTTCTCAGCTGGGCCTCATCTGGGCACCCCCAAACCCCCAAAAAAGGAAGGGGAATCTGCATATCTCTTCATAGCTCCTGCTGGGTAACCTCAGGAAGAGGCTTAATTAGCACCTCCTTAGATCCAAGAGCCAGTGTACCCAGTGGTCAGAGTGGGACCACCCAGATTACAACTCCTCAGATTCATAAGGAACACACTCAGGGGGCAGACTCAGTGAGCACCAAAGCCCCACTGAAGCAAGTCTTGCCCCAGAAGGGTGTCTTCAGCACAGAAGTTCTCCCACTGCAGACACAGCTGATTCTCACTGCCAATTGGCCTGGAGGTCAATTCCTCCCAGTGACACCTAAAACAATCAAGGCATAACTACAACAAGACTGTGCACAAAGCCCACAAGGGGGTGCACCAAGAGTGTCCACCTCAGGTAACTGGGGAGGCTGAGCCACTGGGCCCTGTAGGACACCTAGCACACAAAACCACTCTACCAACACAGGGAAGCAGACAAAATGCGAAGACAAAGAAACAGGTCACAAATGACAGAAATGGAGGACAGCAAACGACTGGATATAGAGTTCAAAACCACGGTTCTAAGATTTTTCAAGAATTTTATGGAAACCGCCGATAAATGTATTGAGATCCTTAAGAAATCTAGTGAGACCCTCGATGTTGTGATAAAGGACCAACTAGAAATTAAGCATACACTGACTGAAATAAAGAATATTATACAGACTCCCAACAGCAGACCAGAGGATCGCAAGAATCAAGTCAAAGATTTGAAATACGAAGAAGCAAAAAACACCCAACCGGAAAAGCAAAATGAAAAAAGAATCCAAAAATACGAAGATAGTGTAAGGAGCCTCTGGGACAACTTCAAGCGTACCAACATCAGAATTATAGGGGTACCAGAAGAAGAGAGAGGGCAAGATATTGAAAACCTATTTGAAGAAATAATGACAGAAAACTTCCCCTACCTGGTGAAAGAAATAGACTTCCAAGTCCAGGAAGCGCAGAGAACCCCAAACAAAAGGAATCCAAAGAGGACCACACCAAGACACATCATAATTAAAATGCCAAGAGCAAAAGACAAAGAGAGAATCTTAAAAGCAGCAAGAGAAAAAAAGTCAGTTACCTATAAGGGAGTACCCATACGACTGTCAGCTGATTTCTCAACAGAAACTTTGCAGGCCAGAAGGGAGTGGCAAGAAATATTCAAAGTGATGAATAGCAAGAACCTACAACCAAGATTACTTTATCCAGCAAAGCTATCATTCAGAATTGAAGGTCAGATAAAGAGCTTCACAGATAAGGAAAAGCTAAAGGAGTTCATCACCACCAAACCAGTATTATATGAAATGCTGAAAGGTATCCTTTAAGAAGAGGAAGAAGAAGAAAAAGGTAAAGATACAAATTATGAACAACAAATACACATCTATCAACAAGTGAATCTAAAAATCCAGTGAATAAATAATCTGATGAACAGAATAAACTGGTGAATATAATAGAATCAGGGGTATAGAAAGGGAGTGGACTGACAATTCTCAGGGGGAAAGGGGTGTGTGGGGTGTGGGAAGAGACTGGAAAAAAAAATCATACACCTATGGATGAGGACCGAAGGGGGGGTAAGGGAAGAGGGTGGGGTGGGAACTGGGTGGAGGGGAACTTGGGTGGGAAAAAGAGGAACAACTGTACTAATCTGAACAATTAAGATTTAATTTAAAAAAATATGTGCAAATGAATTAATGTGATATACCATATTTACAAAATAAAGGATAAAAATATGATTATATAAAATAGATGCAGAAAAAGAATTTGACAAAATCCAGCTCTGGTTTATAATAAAAAATTTGAGCAAACTGGGAACAGAGGGAACATACCTCAACATAATAAAGGCCATATATCACAAAGCCACAGCTAACATCATACTCAATGGCAAAAACTAAAACCATTTCCCTTAAGATCAAGAACAAGACAGGGATGTCCACTTTGACCACTCTTATTCAACATAGTACTGTAAGTCTTAGGCACAGTAATCAGATAAGAAAAAGAAATAAAATACATAAAAAATACAAATAGAAATAAAACTAATTATTTGCAGATAACAGGATACTGTATATAGAGAACTCTAAAGATTCCACCAAAAAACTAGTAGAAATTATAAGTGAATTCAGTACAGTCGCAGGATACAAAATACATTTTCAGAAATTGGTTTCATTTTTATACACCAATGATGAACTATCAGAAGATGAAATTAAGAAAAAAATTCATTTATAATTGCATCAAAAATATAAAGTATATAGGAATAAATTTAAATATGGAGGTAAAAGACATGTATGTACTTGGAAAATTATAAAACATTGAAGAAAAAAATTGAAAAAAGATACAAATAAATGGATGTATATATCATGTTCATAGATAGGAAGAATTAACATCATTAAATTGTTCATTATACCCAAAGCAATCTATATATTTAATGAATTCCTATTAAAACACTGATGGCATTTTTTACATAACTAGAATAAATAATCACAAAATGTATGTGGACCCACAAAGACCTTGAATAACCATAGCAATCTTAAGAAAGAAGAACCAGGTTTGAGGTATCACACTGCCTATTATCAAACTATACTATAATACCACAGTAATCAAAACAGCATGGTGCTGGCATATAAACACATGTAGATCAATGGAACAGAATAGGGAGCCCAGAAATAAACCCACATGTATATGGTCAATTAATATATAACAAAAAAGGCAAGAACATATAATGGAGTAAAGACAGTCTATTCAATAAAAGTTGTTGGGAAAATTGGACATATGCATACAAAAAAATTTAAACTACACCACTTTTGTATGCCATACATAAGAATAAACTCTAATGTAACACTCAAAACTATAAAACTCCTAGAAGAAAATGTAAATCAACAAACAGGTGTTGGCAAGAATGTGAAGAAGGGGAGCCTTCATGTACTCTTGGTGGGAATGCAGACTGGTGTAACTACTATGAAAAACATTATGGAGTTTCTTCAAAAAATTAAAAATGGAATTGCCTTATGACCCAGTGATTCCACTTCTGGGAATTACAATAGTCAAGATATGGAAGAAACCCAAGTCCCAATAAATAGATGAGTGTATAAAAATAACGTGATATATATACACAATAGAGTATCACTTGGCCATAAAAAACAATAAAATCTTAGCATTTGTGACAGCATGGGCAAACCTAGAGGGTATTATGCTAAGTGACATAAGTTAGAGAAACACAAATACCATATGATTTCATGTACATGTGGAATGTAAAGAGCAAAATAAATGAACAAACAAAACAGAAACAGACCTGTAGATACTGAGATCACACTGATGGTTGCCAATGGGAAGTGGGTAGGGGAACTGGGTGAAAAAGGTGAAGGGAATAAGAAGTATAAATTGGTAGTTACAAAATAGTCATAGGGATGTAATGTACAGCACAGGAGTAGTGTCAATAATCTTGTGTGGTGCCAAGTGGATAACTGAAATATAGGGGCACCACTTTGTAAAATATATGATTATCTAAT